GTAAAACAGCTGGGTTGAACGACTGGACGTATTCTCTAAAGTATTAGAGTACACAGACGTACTCTAAACATTTAACGAGATGGGAAATGTTCGAATTTTGAATTATCCAATCTAATAGTTCGTTCTAAAGGTGATGGTTTGAAGTTTCAGCTGAAACTGACTTTTAGTAGATCAGCAGCTGTAGCCAAATACCATTTAGCGCTTGTCTACATGTATAATAGAACACCAAATTATATGGAATTGACGTAAATTTTGACACTTGTCAGTGTCATCCCTATACATTTTGATTTCTACTCTCTCTGTAGACAAGCGCTGAAGTGGCGTTTGGCTAAAGGCCCTGGAATTTGGGGTCAAAAGCTTAGAGCATAGACAAAATTATATTGACAATTAGTTTCTTCTTCATGCTCTTAATCAAAAATTTGATTATTTAATTCGCTTGCAATACTTTTACAAACAAATCAACGAGACAATGACTTAAACAAAGACGAAGTCGATGGTAAAATCTAGTGCCTTATTTAAGACGACAGCGCCATCAGTAAGGCACGGTTTTGTCTGGAACCGAAGTTTTAAACTTAAGTAAAATGGCCGCCACCTGTTACTTAATTACTTAGGGACACATTGGATAATTAACATGAATCGGTGATAGACAATACCTAGGTTTAAGAGGTAGATGTTAATTGGTGAGGGTCCATGACCAAAGAAGGTAAGGTTTTGGATTACCTCGAGTGAGAACTGTGAGATATAAAGCAAACGATTTTATGAACATCGAAAAAATGCACGTTGTTAATTATCAAATAATAATTGAAAGACCCATTTAGAAGCTTATATTCAGTCCCTCACATAAATAACAAATTATTTTCAAAGTTTAGAAAGTTTTCAGTAGTACAATGCAATCGGGGAGCCTTCAAAATACAGATAGACTTCTATTTGATCATAAATTTTATTTGTTTTCGAGTGTAAGAAGATTATTTTTGTCGGAATGCTTGAAGTTTTGCGAAAGAGATGAATGAACTATAGTATCTAATAAATATTTTTTTTAATGTATTTTTTCTTACAATTGAATATGTATGTAATTGGTTTTTTGTACCATTCTATTCGTATAAATAAAAAAGAGCAATAAAACAAGACACATACTAAATTAACTAAAAATCGCGGGCTACTCACGTAAAAATACTGTGGTAGGCTGCGCGACATCGCCGCGACCACGCACGCTGCTCATGAGCAAGAGTCCCTTTGTGGCTCGAAACTAATAGAGCTTTTCTCGGTATTTGCAGATGAGTATCTCGCGATTTTTAGTTAAAATAAAACCAGAGCTTCAATAAATTATCTATTAGAAGTTTCCTTTTACAGAACGATATTTATTTATAGTGCATCTACCACCCATTTCCAGATTCTTTTCAAAAATTCCATCCATAGGTTGTCTGGAAGAAATCGCCGCGTGTGATAAGACCGCCCATTGTACTTAAATTACTATTGCAATGTTTACAATTTTTTTGTGTGTGTGCAATAAAGTATAAATAAATAAATAGATATTTAAACCTTCCAACACCAACATACGCAGCTTAGTTGTATATTAACACCTACCTACGCTAATTATACCTATATTACCTTTCTATGCTGTCTAAGATGGAGCAAGTTCTATTAATTATCTAAGTACTCCACTTCTCAGAGGAAATTGTTACGTAATCTGTTGTTATAGTTCCAGTACACTTGATTACATATCAAGTTATACAAAACCAGTATACTGCTGAACATCGAATTTGCATAGAGACCATACAAATCGAGACCAGGATAAATTGGTTTTGTTTAGTAGTAGTAATTTTGTAGCCGAGTTTACCTACAATACATACAATAATAAGAAGCTTTAGTAAATATCAACTTATATGTAACCTAGTAGTAGTGTTTCTATTAATTTTCTAGTTTCTTCAAAGGAAGAAGTTGCCTTTGAAAGGTATCGAAATGAATTTGAATTTGGTTTGTGGTGTATTAAGTTAGTTTACGATAAAATCAATAGTTTAGAATTTAGACGCCTCTAATTTTGATTACCTATATAAAACGTAGATAGAGATATCTAGTAAGTTTTTTATTCGTTAAGCCAGTAAACTAGCAGACGAATCACCTGATGGTAAGCAATCGGCGTCGCCCGGTAACACACTTGGAACACCAGCGGCGTTACTAGTGCGTTACCGGACTTTTGGGAATAGGGAATGTAAGGATTGTGAGGGATTTGGGGATTGGGGAGGGGAATTGGGCCTCCGGTACCCTCACACACGACAAAATACAACGAAAACGTTGTTTCACATCGGTTTTCTGTGAGGCCGTGGTATCGCTCCGGTGGAGCCGGCCCATTGTGCTGAGTGCTGCTGTTACCCTATAGAATAAGATACACTATAGTGTACACTACAAATCTCAGTAGTAGCATGGAGTCTGGATTTGTGCCCGATATTATGGCAATAGGCTCATCTTCTATATATAGTGAAAAGTGCCAATTAAATTGTACAGAGGCATCAAGTGCCGTAACGTGCACTTCTGCCTACTCCCACAGGGTTAAAAGACGTGATATTATTATTGATCTTTTACGAAATACCATCCTTTGCCGAAGAAATGTAGGTAAACGATGAACTTAAAAACTTAAATGCACTAAAGAAACAATAAGTACCAATATTCATACCTCATAAAAATTTAACTACAAACGTTTTCATCGTAGACTTTATTGCTTTTTTCTTTTAATATCATGAGTTTAGGACATGTTTTTGTCATACAAATTAGCTGGCTCCCACAATATATGAGGTCGCCTGGAAATTGCCGTAAACCTTTATTACCCCGACTAGGGTGAACAAAAACAATTTCGTTGCTCTAGCTCAGTTTAATTTATTCTGCCTAGTGATTTTATGTGTGAGATATAATGTTTATTTTAGGTAAAGGGTTAGACAAAGGTGTAGATAACTGGTGTGTCTAGGAATTAGTGTTTTAATAATAACTTAAATCCAACAACCACCTTAGGAGGCTAGCGTTAGGCAGTTGGGTCAAGGGCCTGATACAGAAGGCAGTTCTTCTTGAAACGGCGCGCATTGTGAGGAGGTTTCTGTCTCTGGAGCCCTAACCACCGGTAGCTTGGACCATGCTCCCACTACTGGTCAATTTTTAAAATTTAAGTTAAATCCAATTGAATTCAGTATTTATGTTATGAGTGTCATGTAATAGGGGGTGAGCCTATTGCCATATACCGGGCACAGTTCCAGACTGCGTGTTACTACTGAGATTTTTTTAAAAGCTAGTAATATTTTGCCCGACCCGGGAATCGAACCCTAGACCCTTTGCCCGGCAATCGCACATGCGACCACTCGACCAACGTGGCTAAATACTTAAAGTATATCGTATAGATTAAGTTATACTAACACTAGTCGTAAGTTTTGTAATACTAACCAATTGGATCATTGTTATCTGAATGAAAAGATATTATTATTATTATTATATTATTATATCTTAAATCTATAATTTCTATAAATAAGGAAAAATTTTTCAAAAATCATAATTTTTAACATATTTCAGAATAGATCATTGTCTTTTTTGCTCTATTGCTAATAAGATGGAGCTAAAATCTAATTATACTTACACAACATTACGCCTATAGAGCTATCGGACGCACACTATTCGCCACATTTTTACTACTTTCGCCCTAAGTAGTGTTGACGGGGTTGAAATTGATAGCATAATAGATGGATTGAATTTGATCCTAGTACTGAGTTTTGAAAAGTATTGTATTTTAAATAGAGTCCATTATTAAGTTTCGAGCCTTTGACTAGGTACCCCTAACGACAGTAATAGATCTCAGTATGACAATCGGAACGAGAGACGGTTTTACGAGCGTACCAAGGCGTAGAGGTTTAACACTGTGTGATTTAAGATCGACTATTTTGTTCAAAAATCTGTATGAAAATTGTGTTATAAGAAGCTAAGCAAAGAGAGGTACATAATATATTTTGAAAAGGTAGGTTTACTAAATAAACAACATAACATAACATCACGCCTTTTATCCTCGAAGGGGTAGGCAGAGGTGTACATTATACCACTGTACAAATGTATCACCCACTTTTCACTATTTATGTTATGAGTCCCATGTAATAGAGGGTGAGCCTATTGCCATATACCGGGCACAGTTCCAGACTCCGTGCTACTACTGAGAGTTTTTTTAAAAACCCAGTAATACTTTGCCCGACCCGGGAATCGAACCCGAGACCTCTTACCCGGCAATTGCAATTGCGACCACTCGGCCAACGAGTTTACTAAATAAAAATTAGAGAAAATATAGTTGCGCTGTCTGCTATGGGTAGCAATGGAATAAAAAGAATGTAATTGCCAAACAATACGTTATACGAGACCAAAAAACTAAAAAACTTACTATTGGTCTGTTTTATTAACAGTTATTAATAGTGTGTTGAAATATTAAAAAAAAATCCTACTATGAAATACAAATTATACCTCAATCAGTAATACATAAAAGTAAGTAGGTACACAATGAAGTTTGCATGAGACGTGCCTTCGAAACCTCCAGACTTTGCTCGTATCAATATAAGCTACGTAACGACCTGCCTTCTAACTTGTATTTATGTGGGTCTGAGTTAAGTGTGTTCTACGGCTTACTTATGTACGTACGCTTTACCGTCTGTAATCTAAAATCACGTCCACGAACAGATACAAAAACAAATAACCTTTATATTTTTATGGTTTCCCGTATAATCAAATATTAGGCTTTTTATTTTTCTTGTGTTGTACTTAACTTGCCTGTAATTATATATCTAAGGACGTGAACAGAAGAGATTAATAAGCTGTTTTAATTTATATAAGTTTATACGCAAATATTGTAGACAAAGCATAGGTGTCAAGGTCGTGAAAATTGTGGAAGTTATAGAGAAAGTGCGCATTACGATACATCTTGTAGTGATGCAATGTTTTAAAAGAAAGAAACTGATACTATGACGTTCTAATAATACACTTACCTGATCTATTTGCCTCGTACGCTGACTCATGCGCCCTAGTTGTAGAACTGCAGTCCCTTTCATCTTGATTGAAAGTGCTGTAATACTCGCTCCGTTCCTGTATCGGAGTGGCTCGCTCGCGTTCCTTCCTCCCTGATTGATTGTTTGATAAGGTAATGTTCTTTCCATGTGTGCTCGGTGACTCCGCGCCATTCATTGCACTTTTGTTCATCGATCGCGATTCACTTTTAAAACTGCGTTCGCCACTATCCAGTTGATCGTCACATCCATTCAGTACTATCTTCTTTATAGTCCTCACTTCTTCAACTTCGCTTATCTTGTGCTCAGAGATCGTCGAACGTTTTGTAATTTCCTCCTTCGAATGGAAATTGCTGTCGCTGATCGAGTTCGACATAGTCTTACTTTCATATTCACATTTGCCATTCAACTTGCTTTCTGGTCGCAAATATTTTTCAAAAGGATCACTATTTCTTTTCGTTTCAAACGGATTTTTATTGTTACTTTGTGCATTGTTTGGAAGACTTTGATTTTCTATCTGATCTACATGATTTCTGTAAGAAAAATCAGATTTTTCATTGGCAGTGTTCGTTATTGTGTGACTATTGTAGCCATTTGTATTTTCGTTGTGATATGAATATGGAAGACTGCTAGGACCGGAGTCGTAAGTTTGGGTAAAAAATGTAGGAGATTTTAAATCTGAATGGAAGTCATTGTTCGACGCATTATCTTTATATTTATTTCTATCTAAGCTAGCGATTGACGCTCTGCCATTGGGTACGGGTAGTTTTGAAGTACTTGAATAATTCGAGGGTAAAGTCATAAAAAATGGATTCGTTGGATGGAATCTAAGAGGTTCTTCGTTCTGTACCACTGACTTAACAAGTGAGGTTGAGTTAAGCGCCGCAGGGAGAGAATTTAAGGAAGCCCGCATAGACGAAGGCGACGGTCGATTTTGTGGCGATTGCGACGGTCGGATAGTGGCATATACGGGAGCCTGGGGAGTTGCTCTGCCGCCTTGCACTTCAGCTATCAGTTGTGAAGGCCCTGAAAGAGCAATAAAACAGGTTACACAGCGCCAAGTAAATAAAACTTAAAGTCTAGTTACAAAACTAAAAACGAACATCGCGGCGTAAAGTTCAGCCTGTCAATACATCTAAACGAAGTGGTGTCAGTCAACATTGAACTTTAGCGACGCAAACGTAAAGTTGACTTAGTGATGTAGTGCCTTTCAACATTTCCTGGCAAACTGAGGAGCGATAAAGTCCCCGCTTCGCAATGGGGCTCTGCATATGCAGACGTGCGATAAAGTAATACATGTCTACTACACAAAAGGAATATTCCAGACTGCGAGAAGTATTCCACCTTCCTTGATTTATACGCCAGCTCATATTTTGTCTACTAAACAAGTTATATTGCTTTAGTTTTGCATGAATGTGGAATTTAGATATCTTTTCCTTAGTTTAGCTTCGTGTTTGGGTTTGTCTGAATCTCATTCTCATTTTGTAAAAGTGTTACGGAGAATATTTGTGCAGTGATAGTAGCGACCTGAATTTTCTGCTTTGTGAAATATGAATATGCGGAAACACGTGCTACCACTTTGCAGGAGCGTTATGAATGAGAATGAGTGGAAATAGGCATGGAAATATTGACGACCATTTACAATTTCGCGACGCTTACAATGTGTTACGGAATAAATTAATGTACGACAGTCATTTATTTTACTTTACATAGGCCTACTATGTTAATTATACCTTAATTCTTTTTCCCAAATACAACACATAAGTAGTTAGGTACTTTAAAGTACAGAATAGCCAATAGGGCAGTATTAAATATGGTATACAAACTAGGTTTAATGACTTTTAATCGTTTTACCTACTGTAAGCTTGGTCCTAAATAACTACAATAGGTACGACACTAAAACGATTTTTTTTCTGACTCAGAAACGATAAATTCTTTTAACAGCGTTTAAGATGGGTTTCACAGTAAGAAGTAACAGTAAAATAATGCAAATAAAAAAACGAACAGTTATACCTAAGATCCAATGCAAAACACATTCGTCCAATAAATAAAGAAACCGCTATGAATACACAAGCAAAATAAGTATTAAACCAATCGATAGTGAATGCTAATTCGTCAACAGAATAAATAAAACTCTTTTCTAATAAAAAAGGTTCACCAGCGTAAGGTCATTACAAACTAGTAATTAGTGCAAGCTATAGTACCATCATATGACTAAAATACGATACAGATATGACAGAGTTCCTCCAATAAGCTGGAGATCTCTTCGGCTAATCCTGCGTAGGAACTGAGCTTCGTTGCATCTTGTTCAGTCAGTTGGACGTATTGAATGGAGGGCTTAGAGCAAGCTACGTCATACAATGAGAGAATAGTCGAACTAAGATATAACAAGATACATTAAAGGTAGTCTAAGTTTGTAATTATTATGCCTATTCCCACCGATTTATACCAACCCAATCGGTTAGGACATTATACTTCGATGTGTTTAATTAATAACAGTTGAGTTACTTCATTGGTCAAACATCATCATACATCAACAGCCTATAAATGCCCACTGCTGAGCAAAGCCTCTTCAAACACGAGAAGGTTTGAGCATTAATCACCACGCTTACTCAATGCGGGTTGGCCATTTCAAACTTATAATATGAATTTATAGGTTTCCTCACGTTGTTTTCCTTCACCGTTTGTCAGTGGTTTCTATATAATCTAAGAAAGTATTAATAACTCGGAAAAAGTCACATTAATACTTGCCGTTTGTAGGTTTCTAACCCGCGCCCTCATGCATGAGAAGTGGGCGTCTCTAACCTCCGGGCCACCACGACACGAACATTGGTCACATTAGTTGCCAATAAGAATATTGGCAACTAATCCGATCGATCGATCCGAAATCTATATATATCTAGAGCTCCAATTTTTTTAGATCTTTTGTTACCTATCTATTTCCTTTGTTAATGCGTAATTTTTCACAATATATCTCCATACATGTTCGGGGCATATGCAGTCATAGCGCAGAATATATAAATTTTAAAATCGAAGCTAAAATGACTGTAGAAAGCACCATCAGGTTCCCTTGTCACAATTCATTAATTTATACGCAGCACTAATGCATCACTAAGTGCACAAAAAATGGTGGAGGATTTTCCGAACCCATTTTTACTAGTACCTACTAAAGCATATGCCAATACAGCTAAAATAATGGAAAAGTGTTTTTAACACTCATTGGAGATTCAACGGTTTGTGTAACGTCAGTTTTTCCCCAATAGTGTTCGAGTATAAAGGAGTGCTGATCTCGATTAAAAGGAAAAGAAAGATCGGGATCTTTCTTTTCCTCTGAGGGTTTCAATTTTCGAAATTCTAAAGTAGTATCTTCTTCTACTAGACTTAGACTGCCTCGTTGGCCGTGTGGTTGTAAGTGGGACTGCCGGGCAAGGGGTCTCGGGTTCGATTCCCGGGTCGGGCAAAGTATTACTGGGTTTTTAAATATTCTCAGTATTAGCACGGAGTCTGGAATTGTGCCCGGTATATGGCAATAGGCTCACCCCCTATTACATGGGACTCATAACATAAATAGTGAAAAGTGGGTGTTACATTGCACAGTGGTATAACATGCACATCTGCCTACCCCTTCGGGGATAAAAGGCGTGATGTTATGTTATCTTCTTCTACTATTATGTTATTGTCATTTTTCACTTGATACCTCGACCTTGCTGCATAGTCGTAACGCACGCAAGTCCCTAAAAACTTACTTTTCAACTCGGATCCTTTGCCAATTGATCTTCTTCTTGGTGACACCTCCCTGTCTCTGGCGACAAGAAAACTTAGATTAAAACTCGAGAATAAAGTAAAAACTTTCACAAAATAATGGAATTCAGTATTATTCTTTAGGTTTCCTAGTAAGGTACGCCATGACAAGTTTACGAATACGATCAACGTTCGAGCAACGAGTCTTGATCAAAAGTTTTGTAGCTTTGAAATGTAAATTACCTGCTATCAACAATATCAAGCTTAAGTACTTTTCTTCTTCGAACTATGTTGCCTCATAAATCTTAAACTAGAATAAAATTTGGATTTTAAATATTTATTTCGATACAACTTTGATTGTTGTGACTTCATTCGGTCAAGAACAAAGAACTACCTATTTAAGTTTATGAAAATGTTACATTGAGAGAAATTAGAAGATTATCAATTTTTAGTACTGATTCATTCAAATCGTACTATACTTACGGTAAATAACAGCATTTTCCCCCAAAAATAACTTTCCTACACTAAGCTAAACAATTACTATACCTCTACATTATGCATTCACTTATCAAAATAGACAACTAGTCGACGTGCAACCGACGCAGTGGTAAACTAAATTAAAGCCTTCAATGTCCTCAGAGAGATTACAAGTATGGACACATTTTGCGATTCCCTATGAGAAACGTAAGTGGTCCAATTTATGTCACGACTAATCTACAAACGGTCCACTGTTCGTTTCTCGTGTGAAATGTCGAAGAGTGATCGGATTATCGGAGTGCAGAATCGAAGCTTGTGCGTCTCAGAGTTGGAGGCCGGAAATTTGAGTGGAACGGGTTATGTGTGAGCTATATTCTGGTCATGTTTGCCTTTGTGCTATTATTTCTGAGGCTTTTTTGTTTTAGAAGATTTGTGAAATATTGGATAAGAGTTTGGACTTTGGTATTTGATTCAGTGCTTAACTGAATTACTAGTTTAATATATTATTATCAATGCTAACAACAGCCTTTGGCTACCGTCGAAACTACCCACATCACCATTCTCACCAACCAAAGGTGGACGAGTCTACGTGCCACCAGATAAACGTTTTTTGGCTATATTGATCGTAACCAAAATCAATCCCTATGTTATCTGTGTTTCTATGTTATCAATTGCATCGTTATTAATATATAGCTGACCATCTGATTACTAAAGTTTCTCTATGTCTACATTTCAACCCTGGTAAAAATGGTAGACTATCAGTTTAATATCTTACTCATTCAATCCGAGTCGAAGTACAGGCCCAGCTGACCTGAGCATGGCGTGGGCATCAGCATTGCTCATACTCTTCGTAGGCCGACCATTGATCGAGGAGATGATGTCGCCCTCTCTAATGCCACTCAGTGAGGCTTTTCGTCCTGGGTTCACCTGGAAAGAGAGAAATATGGTCAATTAGTTGATGCGTTGGTAATATTTGAGGATTCTTATATTAGAGGTAGTAACAGTGTGAGTACTGTGATATTTAGTTATGTTATTTAGATTTTTGTTATACAAAACGTAAACGGCTCCTAAATTTCGCATCGCAAGGGAAAACCTGGTTTATTTTTCAAAGTGCTAAAGAAAATAATATATGTTAAGTTTTCCTAATATGTTACCATTTGTCTCACTAGTATAGTGAGTAAATAAAATTATAATAATTCCCTACTAGGTGTGGTTTCAAATTGAAATTAACAATGAATGAAAAATATGACATTAAAATACGCAAAACAATGGGAACTTAAGAAATACATAGGTACGATATGTATGGAGAATAGTCACCCCATTAGGGAATGCTCACACCCTCAGCTTTGAAGGAGCCTGTAAACCTCCAGGGTATAAGCAGAAGTGCAAATACTGGTTATAGCTAACTTTTCCGCTAACTTTTATTGAGAGGACAATATAGTATATTTCATATTATGTAGATAGATTAAGTAGGTGTGCTTCATTGATTTTTATTGGACGGATTATCACGTTTTTTTATATATGCTGAATCAATATTGAACTTTGTTGTACATAGACTGTGGGTACAATATCTGATTGAGAGAATTTGATCGAATGGTGTAACAGCGACTTAAAATTTGGCTGGACGGGGGACCTGAATATCAAACTCGATCACACAGTATGCTACTGGAAAAGCCAAGAACTGTACAGAAACGGGTTAATTTTGTGATGGGAGTATTTCATTAATAGCTTAAATGCCCACCGCTGAACCAAGCCTCTTCTCACACGGAGAAGGTTTGAGCATTAATCACCACGCTTACTAATTGCGGGTTCGCGATTTCAAACTTATAATTAGAAACAATAAATCTAGGTTTCTTCACGATGTTTTCCTTCACCGTTTGTCAGTGGTGTCTAAAATCTTAGGAAGTACATACAACTCAGAAAAGTCATATTGGTACTTGCTGTTAGTAGATTTTGGACCTGCACCCTCATGCTTGAGAGGCGGGCGTTTAAATGGGGTATAATGGGCGATGGGAGTATTGAGTACGCTTAATTCACAGAACATATGTTCTGTGCTTTAATTCATCTATTCTAATTTTAATAGATTGATAATCGCTGTACCTACTCAGAACCATTTGATAGTAGGTAACTTAAGACTGGCAAGACATAGCTGGTCAATATAAAGCTTGCAACATCTTTTGTAACTTATGATCTACAAATAAAGTAATTTGAATTAACCCAGTCTTTAACATGTTTTTTTGTAACCAAGGGAATAGTATAAGTAGTCATAAGTTGTGTCGCGGAGAACCTAACGGGTTACCGGGGCTCCGGCTCGATGTGCAGGAGAAGGAACGGGGTGGTTTTTAGTTAGTAAGAGTCTGGCACTCCATCCTGCCTCACCCAGGCGCGAGCAGTCATTCGATGATTTTCCCCTCTAAAAAAAAGTCATAAGTTGTCTCGCAATATGGTAGTGTCAGAAGTGTGATTGCATTTCAGACGTCGTGACTAGATCGACTGCAACTAACATAAGGATGTCTATTTATAGTTCTGATTATGATTCATAATAGTAGAAGCTAATCAATTATTTCCTTTGCTTTAGTGGTCTGATGGGTGTGCTGAACTTGATGCAATCATTATGTTTTTAATGTGACTATGTACCTTTTTTTTGATGACGGGCGGAAGCCTTTAAACGGCGCCCAGCCTTTTTGGGGATAAAAGACTACGGAGTGTGGGATTTTGACCTCACTAAAACCACCCCGGTGGCCACCCTCAACACCTCTAAAAGAGATGTACCTATGGGTACACACGGCCACACATCAATCTATATAAAACCAGTTTATCCTGGTATCGCGTCGCATCATCTTTCCGCACATTTAACGTTTAGTTTATACTGGTTGTGTAAAGCTCGATGTGTAGCCGTGCATACCTTTAATAAATCACTTTATTTATTATTATTATTAATTGTTGCAAGTTTATTTTAATTACATTGTAGAAATTGTTATACGATGGCTTGTCAAATAAATAAATGTAACGTGTACCTACGTTTTGTGTATTATTATATTTGTTTTTGTCTTTTCAAGATCAAAGTGTAGACGATCAAATACTTTAATCTCCATAAATCATAGATAAATGTGAAAATAAAATATTATTTATTTATTTATCATTCTTGTATTATGACAGCCATACTATGTTACAGTTATTATAATATTTCTATTGAACATAGGTAGAACTAGATATTGTTTTTTTATAATTTTTAAAGCATAATTCATAATATCGTCGCTGATAGTGCAAATTCACGGAACTAGTATTTGATAATTTCGCTTGTTTGACAAATGTAGCTAAGTAATTCCAGTTTTTGCTAAAAAAAACCCCAAAAACTTAATTGGCTGCCACCACCTTGACACGAGTTCATTTGGACTCTTTTTAAATTGTAAAATGAACTTTAAATTCGTTGAATTAATAAAGTTATTAAGTTTTATCCTTCCTCTGTAAAACTGAATCTATTACGGATACCTACGCGGCTTTTACGTACCAATGGTAGATTCACAGATTTGCACTATCCTCGACGATGTAGCGAATATTCCTATCCAATAATCATATGTATTATACACGAACAAAGCCTTCAATGTGGATTCAATATAATATAACATCACGCCTTTTATCCCCGAAGAGGTACGCAGAAGAGCACTTTACGGCACTTAATGTCACTGTACAATGTAACACTCACTTTTCACTATTTATGTTATGAGTCCCATGTAATAGGGGGTACGCCGATTGCCATATACCGGGCACAATTCGAGACTCCATGCTACTACTGATAAATTTTTAAAAACCCAGTAATACTTTGTCCGACCTAGGAATCGAACCCGAGACCCCTTGCTCGGCAATAGCACTTGCAAACACTCGGCCAACGACGCTGCAGGCAGTGTATTCAATGTGTGCACTACGTTATTAAGTACCTATCATTATATTCACTGAAACCAATTCTATAATCACTTGAGACACTCTTCTAAGACTCAGCGGTCGAAATTTTGTAACTGATAATGTGATGATGGTGAACTCAGGGAATGTCAACTGATATCTACACGTGGGTACAAATACAAAGAAACCCTAGTCAAATACACCAATGTAGGTAAAGGATTGCACAACAAGCTTGGTATAAACACATAGGGATTGTAGTTGCCTAGTCTATGTCACTAACATTCATTAAAATGGTGTCCAACTGCGCATAGGTAAAGATGTAAGCGCCTGCCAGAATACTAGTAGCACTACGATTATAGGTACCCACTTATATTATTCGATTAATTTTCTTATCAATGTGTTATGTAAGTAAAGTGAAGGCGAAAAGAGTGTTATACTGACGTCATTTATAGCGACAATTACTACTTTAGAAGAAATATTTGCTGAACAAGCCTCGATGGACGTAGCAGACAATTCTATTTGAGCAAATCAATAGGGGAAAGTCCCGTAACGCCGGACGGCACCTAACGCCGAACACTTGTATTATTTCAATAACTAATAACGTATAAATGTACTTTGCTTTAAGCCTATTGTAATACTAGGTGCCATCTGGTGTTAAGGGACTTGCCCCTAATTATTTCTGACTAGCTATTACAAGCGGTTTTATCCTATGAGAGTATTTTATCCTATCACCCAACTCAGCCCATACCCAGCTTGTATATCAAATATCATCAAAATCCGTTCAGTAGTTTCAGCGTGATTGACGGATAAACATCCAAACAAAGAGACTCACATTTATAATACTTATAGGCGTGATTTACAGTTACGCAAACATATTATTATAACATCCAGCTATGCGTTCCTACACACAAAATACCTCTCTATGAAGAAAACTTCATATTAATTCATAGTTACGAATAAAGACCGCTAAACACAAACATAATACGAAAACCAAAAACCGCAAGCAGCCAACAAAACCTTTCCTATGTGTTTGATTTTACACAACTATACAATATTATTGGCAACTGTACAACAGAGGGAAGTTACAAACCGCATTGGGCTCCCTTCGCCTCGCAGCCGGGGAGCAAAACTTCAACATATCCGGGTTCTCTGCTCACCCCTCACACACACAAACACTCAACACACGTACACACGCGATTTCACGTTGAGAAAGGTCATTGTTACTACCCTTATCTACGACACTAGGAAAAAGGAAAACAATCCTTAAATAACTGTATAATGAAGTTAATTGTGACGATAGCTTTAGTTTTGCTTACAGTTTAGATTTGCAAGCCACGGAATTTTTTTACGATTTACAGGGACGCCTTAAACTTTACTACACAATGATCCTTTCCACTGACGAAAACAGCACAAAAATCTGTTTAATAATATCCAACTATATAAAGAACAAACAGATACACGAACTTTGCTTTTTCACCCAAAGATTCGGGTGCAAAACAAACTTGAGCTGACTAAAATACTCGAAGAAAGTCACACACGATACAAAGGCTTAGAAGGGAGCCCGCAAACTGACTAATTCCATCGAAACATTATATGGGCATTATAGAAAATGCATGCGCGTTAGACTCGGCCATTGTTATGTTGCCCATCACCCGCTTCGAATATTAATCTTGTCGAAGGCCCAACGAAGGCGTAACACGGTCTTAAGTCATGCGATCGCGCTAAGGACTCCGATCCCCAATAGGTTAATAACCTTTAAGTCTGACATTGTATGGAAATAACATGAGATTACTTTATTAATATAAATGTACTAATATTTTTATGCTTACGTAATATTGAATCATTAATGATTTTTCTATTTGTTAGACTTTAAACCCGAAACTTCATGAAAAGTTTTTAGATTTGATGCTTAAAAATGCTAAAGGAAAATATAATGAGTATCTACAGAATATCTAGTAATATTTAGAGACAATAAAAATGAACACTATTGCATTATTTCAGTTACCAATGACTTTTTGCAAGTCATG